AGATCAAACAGCAGCATTTTTTTTTTTTTTTTTTTTAAATTTGGAAACCAGGATCAAACTTGGGACCTTGTACTTGTGAGGCAGGTGGTGGAACAACTGAGCTAAATTTCCAGCCCCATCAGCAATTTTGATAAAGACACAGCCTGGGCCACCTTTTTCCCAGCAGGTGCATGATCACAGCTTTCAAGAGTCTGAGCATTAGCCGGGCATGGTGGTGCACACCTGTAATCCCAGCACTCAGGAGGCGGAGGCAGGAGGATTGCTGTGAGTTCAAGACCAGCCTGGGCTACATAGTGAGTTCTAGGTCAGTCTCACTATATAGTGATACCCTGTCTCAAAAAACCGAAAAGAAAAAAAAAAAAAGTCTGAGCATTACTTCCCAACCTTGAGAGACCCTCCACCTCCGAACTGGAAAGGGGTGGATCTGGAGCCCATTTGTGATTAAGTCAGGTGAATCACTTTGTCCATGCTAGAAGGGGATCAAGTGACAGTGGCTTTAAAATTACATTTGAGAAAACTTCAAACCTCTGTTCTGGATTAAAGTCAAGGTGGAATATCCTGAAATTTCCATGAAAGGAATGAAAAGCCTCCTTCCATTTCCGACACCCTGTTTTTATGAAGCAGGGTTTCCTGCAGTGACAGCAACCAAAACAAGGTTATGTGATCCTCTGAACATAAGCAGCAACTTGGGTGTCACTGTCTCGCCTCACAGATGGGACTATCTAGTTGCAGGAAAACAAGCTCAGGGCACCCACTGATTCTGCATTATGGTTGTATGATTATTTCATTATATATTACATCGCAATAACAGAAAGAAAGCACACAATAAATTAATGCACTTCGATCATTCTGAAACCCTCTCCCCAACCCCAGTCCAAGGAGAAATTGTCTTCATGAAACTGGTCTTTGGTGCCCAAAAAGTTGGGGGCTACTTAAGCTAGACTGACCAGGTAAAAGCAAATTATCAAAGCCAGGAAAGAAGGGTATGTCATCATCATTCTGTAGAAGTTTAAAAGGGCCATGAGAGAGTTATGAACAATTTAATGCCAAAAATTTAGCCTAAATAATAATTTTTTAAGAAAGGCCCAAGTTCTAATGATTGAAGAAATGGAAAAACCTAAATAGATTTTTAAAAATTGAATTAGTAGTTGAAAGTAACATTCCATTTCCCTGATCCCTACATCTTGCTATAAAGAAATGTCCAGGCCCAGATGGTTTCACTTTGATCAAACATGTAAAGAAGTGACGCAGTTCTTTCACAAACTCAGAATACAGGGGAGGACCACTTTCCAACTCATTCGATGAGACCAGTATTAGCCTTACACTAAAATCAGAGACATCACAAAAGCAGAAAATTTTAAGCGAATATCACAGCGAATGTGCCCAGCATAGTGGCGCACAGTATAAACCCCAGCACCTGTCCTCGTGTACGAGCTCCAGGGTTCCATCTCTAGCGTGCACCTGGATACACACACTAAAGGAAATCAAATAACATAAAAATCATACACCGCAACCAAGCAGAATTTATTCTAGGAATATAAGTCTCTTACCAGGTTAAAATGAATTACTATATGAATAAAGCACAAAATCTACATGATTATCTCAGGCAAAGAAAAACATAAAATCTAACATCTTGCCAGGGATTTAGCTCAGTGGGACCACCGCCTGCTTTCCAAGTGCAAGGTCCAGAGTTTGATCTCTGGTACAAAACAAAAAACTAAAACCTTAAAACAAGGAATAGAAGGGGAAGTTCCTCAACTTAAAAGTATCTGTGAATGGGCTGGGGATTTAGCTCAGTGGTGCTGCTACCTGTCTCACAAGTGCAAGGACCTGAGTTTGATCCCCGGGACTGGGGGTGGTGGTGGTGAAAAATATAGTTACCATTTTGGACAAAGCAAGGTTGTCTTTTGTTGTTGTTGTTATAGGGACTGAGCTCAAAGCCTTTGCACTGAACTGGGTCCCTATCCCTTTTTGAGACAGGACCTCACTAAATTGCAAAACTGCCCAGGCTAGGCTGGAATTTGTGATCCTCCTGCCTCAGTTTCCCAGAGTGCTGGAATGACAGGCATGGGCCACCATTCCCAGTTTAGAATGTCTGCTTTTTCCAGGGCAATATTGTACTGAAGTTTCTAAGCAATATAATTAGTAGAGAGAAGACAAGAAAGGCACCTACATTGGAAAGGAAAAAAAATGTCTGTATTCCATATGACATTCTTAGGGTGTAAACATATCCCAGGGAAGTTATGCTTGCAAATACTGGAACAAGAAATTTAGCATGGTCAAAGGGTACCGGGTAAATATACAAAAAGTATTATAGTGTTTCTATAACAATATGGAAATTTAAAAAAATTTTGTACTGGGGGATTGAATTCAGAACCTTGTGCTTGCGAGGCAGGCATGGTGCCAATAAGCTAATCCCCAGCCCTGGAAATTAAAGTTCTATCCACAGAAGCATTAAAAAGCATGAAATACTTTGTAAGACTTGCACAATGAAAACTACAAACTCCTGAGAAGGAAGATATAAATAAAAGGTTCTCAAACAAGGGTGATTGTTTCCATGAAGGAATATTTGACAAAGTATGGAGATATTTTGGTTGTCATTATTTTGAAGGGATTGCTGATGGTGTAGAGGGTAGAGGCCAGGGATGCTGATAAATACCTTAAAATGCATAGGAGAGCCCTACAACAAAACATTGTCTAGCCTTAAATGTCAACAGTGCTAATGCTGAGAAATCCCAATCTAAATAAATGGGAGAGGCATTCCATGTTATGGAATGCAAGATTAAAAAAGCCAGTCTGGCTTTAAACTCAGGGCAATCTTCCTGCTTCAGCCTCCCAAGTAAGGGGATTACACAGGTGTGCCACCGTTCCGGGTGCAAAACTATTATTGAAACAAAGTAGGTTTTTCAAAATGTACTATGAACCACAGTAATTAGAGTTTGATATTAGCACAAAATAGGCACATAAACAATGAAACAAACACGTCAGTTGATTTGTAACAAAAATGTAAAGCCAATTCAGTGGAAAATTTTCAATGAATAATCCTGAGAGAAAATTTATCGGCATGGCCAAACAACCCCACCAAAACAAATTTTAGACCTTATCTTGCATGACAGACACACACAAAATGAATCAAAACAGACACAAACTTAAATGTAAGAGCTAAAACTAAAATTTCTGGAAAAGAAAACTTAGATGTTCTTCATAATTTTGAGTTAGGCAAAGATTGCTTGGTTACCCAAAGCATGACCTGTAAAAGAGAAAAGATGATAGTGGACTTACCAAAATTTAAAAGTTTGCAACTGAAAACATACCACAAAAGAAAAACTAAAGAAAAGTTACAGTCTGGGAGAAAGTATTTACAAAGGCCAGGCACTGTGGTGCATGTCTGTTCCTGGTAATTGGGAGGCTGAGGCAGGAGGATTCCCCCAAATGTGAGGTCAACCTGTGAGTTCAAGGCCAGCCTCAAACACATAGTGAGACCCTGTCTCAAGAAAACAACAAAAGTATTTATAAATCATACCTGTGATAAAGGCATTATATTCAGACTATGTAGAAAACTGACAAATCAATAATATAAAGACAACTTCTTTTGAAAATGGACAAAAGATTTGAATAGACATTTCCCATTGAATAGACATTGAATAGACTAGTCATTAGGAAATGCCAATTAAAATGATAATTCACCACTACGTATGAAAGTTGGTGAGACTCTAGAGAAAATGGAACCCTCATAATTGTTGATGGTAATGTAAGATGTTACAGGCACTCAGGAAAAATTTGGCAGTTCTTAAATTAACTGTATAACTCAGCATTCCACTTCTAAGAGCCTACCCAAAATAAATGAAAATATGTATACACAACGACATATTTATAAAAGTTCATAGCAGCATTATTTCTAATTGCCCTACACTACAAATACCAATGTTCATCAACTTGTAAATGGAAAAACAAAATATGTTATCACAATATGTTAACATGTAGAGTTAATGTTACATCCATACAATGAAATAATATTCATCAAACTCCTAATAAACAGTACAATATGGATAATCTCAAAGGCATTTTAGTATCGACTTGATGAATTCTATATCCTGTAAATTAGCCATAAAAATTACAAAAAGTGTCAACTCTTCCAAGCGGGGCATATTCTAGAGGCATCTAAAGGCTTTTTTTGGAGACAGGTCTCGCTGTGTACTTCAGGCTGGTCTTGAACTCACTCTGTATCCCAGGGTGGCCTCACATTTGGAGCAATCCTCCTGCCTCAGCCTCCCGTGCTGGGATGACAGGCTTGTGCCGCCACCACGCCCAGCAAGGTTTCTAGATTTGCTCCAACCAATGCTAGTACACTGGCTTTCCCTACTTTGTGGATTTAGTCTGCAAGAATTACTGTGTACATTTAGAGTCAGAGTATGTCTCTGGTGAGAATGAAAAAATATCAAGATTATTCACAACTATACATATCGCGTTGGGAAATAAATTTGGTTCCGGTGATAAGGGGGATCCTCCCAGATGGTCTCTCCTTTCTTAGGTGTCAAGCTGTTTTAGCCCAGAAAAAACAGTAAGAGAAACAAGACTGGCCGTTGCGAAGAGGTGCCCCAGGAAAGAAGAGGGGAACATACTGGCGGGCAGGTCGTGTAGGCTTCCCCTGCTCCCTTCAGGGAGTCAGTAAAGTATGAGTGTAAGCTCCAGGGCCAATCTGGTCTGAGTTCAAATCCCCAAGTGCCACGTTCTAGCGAGGTGACCAAACAAGTTCCTCAACTGCCTCGCTTTTGCAGTGACAATACTCCCTGGACTGTGAGGATTAAATGCGCTTATACTTTACGGGAAGCACATGGTTTAGTGCTCAGCAAATATTAGCAGAAGTAGGATGGCCTCACCAGCCCGAGCTCTCTGAGCTCTCCGCGTTCTTTCACAGGTGGCTCAACTAAACTCCCAGAACGCCGCAGTCGCTATGGTAACGGGCCACCTATTTCCGGGAGAAGTACGGCGCGCGCCGAGGGTCATTCCAGCCGCCGCCTGGAACAACCGACAGTAAGGCCGCAGTGGGGCCGGTCGTCCTCTAGGTTCGACTGCGGGTTCCGTCCTGCAGTCCTGAGGGCCAGCCCACGTGCCGTCGCAGGGTCCCTTGCTTCTCCGTCCTCGTTGTCGCCAGGAACCACCTCACGGACTGGGCGCCAGGCCTGAGGCCGTGCCGCCATGGACTTCTCCAAGTTCTTGGCCGACGACTTCGACGTGAAAGAGTGGATCAATGCGGCCTTCAGGGCCGGCCCCAAGGAGGCTGCAGCGGGGAAGGCGGACGGCCACGCTGCCACGCTGGTGATGAAGCTGCAGCTGTTCATCCAAGAGGTGAACCACGCCGTGGAGGGTGAGCCGCCGGGCCCAGCCGCCGGACCCT